CTTTCCCTGGTCACCAAACCAGCTGACTAAAGGAGGCCTCCAGTCCCGTCCTGCCCCACTGTACATTGCCGAAGCCACAATCGAGATGCAAACGCCGCCCAAACCGTTATTGGTCAATATTTGACCCTTTTGCGAACTCTTTTATAAGCAGACTCTGGAGGACGGGGCTTTCTGCTTGGAGCTGTTCCCAGTAGTCTATGTAAAGACCGTTTTTAATAAAAGAAAAGATAAAAAAAAAAAAATTAAAAAGAAAACCCACGCACCAGCCAGCCACAAGATGCTCACATGAGCCCAAAGCAAGTGGAGACAGCCGTGTTTCTGTGGCCCCCTCCCTGGGAACCCTGGGCTTGGACAGATGGAGCCTCTCTGGTGTTCTGCTGAAGGTCATTTTGGACACCTGGCAGCCCACAGTTGTCCTGATAACAGCTCTTCTCAACATGCCTCCGGCTTGGAGAGAGGGCCGGGGGCTCCTGCCCCAGCCTGAGCGGAGCATGCCATGCCAGGATGATGCCAGCACAACCTGCCCCTGGTTCCTCCTGTGACTGTTTCAAGGTTGGGGAGGGAGGGGGGCTGACCTTTGGGGGAACCTCTCTCCCTCCCATCATCTGTTATTTTCACAAAAGGAAATAAAACTCCAGCTGCAAAGTTGCTGTGTGGAGCGTGGTCCATGGATCTCCATGAGTCTCTTCACCCAGTGGGAACTGCCTGAGAGGCCCCCCATGCAGGAGAAGGGAGTATGTGTTGGAGCGGGGTTCAGGACTGGTTCACTAAAGGGAAGATGGCATCCTGTTTTCCTGGGCACTGTATATAGCACATGCACTCTATTGCCAACATTCACCCCTGTGAGCCCTGAAGGCTGGGCTGCAGCTCTGGGACTTGAAAAACTCTTGATATTTCTTCCCCAATTATGCCCCCAGCAGTACCAGGCTCTAGACAAGTCCAGAGAGATCCCTTTTAATCGTGTTCCTACTCCAAATGGCTTCACCCAGGGCCTGGGAGGGATGACAGGTCCCTCCACAATATGGCTCCTGCCTGGACAAACACAACCCGGTCCCTGTTTTGCTTTGTGTTCTAGGCCCGAAGCTCAGTGCATCTCAAGGGGTGTAAACTCCACAACTCATGGAGACCCACCAGCGGGGGAGTGCAGGGGAGAAGCATGCAGTTTCCCCCACCAAGCAGGTATGTGTCAGGCTATCTGTTCCTGTCTCTCAAGGAGGGTGCTGCTTGCCAACCCTGTATTTGGTCAGCACAGGCCTGTGAGGTGGGTGGCACCATGCCTTTGTTTACCAGGGGCCCCCACATTGGTTCAACCCAGCCCTGAACTCAGTAGGAAGTTCCTTCCCAAACAAGACAGTCTTTTAAAGAGCTTTTTGTTTTCAGAGAAACCGTTTCCTTGCTGCTGGGAGAAGCCAAGAACTCCCTGGAGGTTTGGACAGGTCTTAACGTGTCAATTGATGATGCCCCGACAGTGCATCATGCAGGATCCGTGCACTAGAGGGGTAGCATGGTGCTAGAACACCCGTCTGCTGCAACACGGTCCTTTGCAGAGGCACGGGCCAGCTTTCTCTGTGCAAAGGCTGCCCTGAGGAAGAGATTTTCAGCGGGGAGAGTGGGGGTCACGTGCAGCCTCTCTCTTCCCCACCCCAGGATCAGCCTGCAGACAAATAACTCCTTGAATTGGATTTCATGGGAAATTAAAGGCATGAAGAGACCTGTCAGAATAATTAAAGCCTGAACTGGAGCCAGACAGCTTCAAACAGATGTTGGCTTTCAGCAGG